TAGAGGCTGCCTTTCTGCTTCCCTTCACTTCCCTTTCCCATGCTGCTACTCTCCTACAACCCAGCTGGTTCACTTTAAACCCTCTGATATAACTAGGAACAATGGAGCAGAATTAAGAGAGAGGATATTTTTCCATCCCAATTTCTCCAGCAATGAAGGGGGTGCATCAAACTCTGGGATACATTTGTTTGCTTCATTGCTTAGGATATCTTAAAACTAGATTGGACAAACAGCTGGAAAATCTACTGTAGGGAGTTGTCTCTTCGTGTGTTCACTGTGTGCTGCAGCAGAGTCTGATTGAACTGTCTAAGAAGACCACAGTAGTGAAGGGGTCACACGACCCACTTCCGGACAGGTCACCCCACCCCGGAACTCGCCCTGATTGGTCAAATCTCCTCTCAGGACGAAACCCATCCTGATTGGTAGAGGGCAGTGGGAGGAGTTGTTAGAGGGATCACATGACACACCTCGCATCCGGTCATGTGGCCGCCTCCCACTGCCCTGTACCAATCAGGAGGGGTTTCAGCTGCTGGGGACCACCCCCAAGAGGAGATTTGACCAATCAGGGCGAGTTGGCTGTGTGTGTGCTCCACCTGGTTTATTGTTGACAAAGCACAGTTTTAGCACCCTGTAGACTCGAAAGGGATACTAAGACATGTATGCCCGTTACAATGGAGCAGCTCAGTGAATGGCGGGACTTTCTGTTCCCCACTTGGGTGGACAAAGACACATCCCCTGTGACCCCTCTTTTATACGCTGATACAAACAAGTTATATATATTGCCCTTCTGATGTGGTTAGTTACCATCCTTTATCTTGTACATGTTGGTTTGATCAGAACATCTCTATCTGTCACCCTGACCTTACCTTTAGGAGGGGTCAGTGTGTCCTATGTTATCTTTGGGGAGTGTGCTTATACCATACTTGGTATTGGGGTGTTCTGATACTAATCTTCTGGAACGTGTTTACATGAGTGTCCTGTGCCTAGCACTTCTTAGGGCTGTTTGCGTTTTTGCAATACCAGCCTTGTTCTTGCCAGGTTCTGTGAACTTGCACATAGGCTTTTTTTGTAACAGGGCCTGACTTCTGCTCACAGCCTGACTTTGCTTTATATCAGCAGGGCCTGACTACTTCAGTTCAGGCCTTCGGCCTTATACCAGGCCTCATGTCTCAGACTCTTTCTTTCTGTTACAGCCTGAAAAGATGGATAAAAATGACTAAACAGGCTTTCTCCATCTCTAACTTCTGTGATACCAAACCACACTGAATTAAGCCATTGGCTGGATGTTTCAGCTAAAATATTCATCAAGGAATCAGTTAATTATATTAACATTCAGATGGTCATCATTGGGGCCCTACCAAATTCATGGTCCATTTTGGTCAATTTCACGGTCGTAGGTTTTTAAAAATCGTAAATTTCGTGATTTCAGCTATTTAAATCTGAAATCTCACAGTGTTGTAATTGTAGGGGTCCTGACCCAAAAAGGAGTTGTGTGTGGGGAGGTGTTGCGGTACTGCTACCCTTACTTCTGCCACCGCCAGCAGCAGCTCACTGCCTTCGGAGCTGGGCAGCTGGAGAGCGGCGGCTGCTGGCCGGGAGCCCAGCGCTGAAGGCAGAGCCGCCGCCAGCAGCAGCGCAGAAGTAGGGATGGCACGGCATGGTGTCGCCACCCTTACTTCTGCACTGCTTCCTGCAGAGCTGGGCCCTCAGTCAGCAGCCATCACTCTCTGGCCGCCTAGCTCTGAAGGCAACAGCGCAGAAATAAGGAAGGCACGGTATGGTATTGCCACCCTTACCTTTGCGCTGCTGCTGGCAGGGTGCTGCCTTCAGAGCTGGGGACCTGGCCCACAGCTGCCACTCACTGGCCACCCAGCTGCAAAGGCAGTGCAGAAGTAAGGGTGGCAATACTGTGACCCCCTCCACTCCCTCCACACAGCCCCTTTTGGGTCAGGACCCCCTGTTTGACAAAAGCTGGTCTTTCCCATGAAATCTGAATAGCATAGGGTAAGATGGGTGGGCAAACTATGGCCCGGGGGCCGCATCTGGCCCTCCAGACTTTTTAATCTGGCCCTCGAGCTCCCGTCGGGGAGCAGGGTCTGGGGCTTGTCCCGCTCCGGTGCTCCAGCCGGTGAGTGGGATTGGGGGCTTGCCCTGCACTGCATGGCTCCCCGAAGCAGTAGCATGTCCCCACTCTGGCTTCTATATGAAGGGGCAGCCAGGAGGCTTTACACACTGCTGCTGCCCCTGCAACTTCCATTGGCCAGGAACCGCTGCCAATAGGAGCTGCGGTGGTGGCGCATGTGGACAGGACAGCTTGCAGAGCCACCTGGCCGTGCTTCCACGTAGGAGCCAGAGGGGGGACATGTTGCTGCTTCTGGGAGCTGCTTGAGGTAAGCGCTGCCTGGAGCCTGCATCCCTGCCCCCTCTCATGGGCCCCAACCCCCGGCCCCAACCCTGATCCTCCTCCCGCCCTCCGAACTCCTCTGTCCCAGCCCGGAGCAACCTCCTACAGCCCCAACCCCTCATTCCCAGTCCCCGCCCGGAGCAACCTCCTACAGCCCCAACCCCTCATTCCCAGTCCCACCCCAGAGCCTTCACCCCCAGCTGGATCCCTCCCCCCCAAACCTCAACCCCCTGCCCCAGCCCAGAGCCCCCTGTGGCACCCTGAACTCCTCATTTCTGGCCCCACCAGAGAGCCCTCACCCCCTCCTGCAGCCCAATCCCCCAATTTCATGAGCATTCATGGCCCGCCATACAATTTCCATACCCAGATGTGGCCCTCGTGCTAAAAAGTTTGCCCACCCCGGGGTAAGAGCACACAAAAGACCAGCTTTCACAGGGGGAGACCAGATTTCATGGTCCGTGATGCATTTTTAATGGCCGTGAATTTGGTAGTGTCTTAGTTATCATTAGGCTTCTGAGCTAATACCCATTGCAATACGTGAGGCAGGTCACACCTTTCTTAGATCTATTGATTATCTGTTTGCAGAATGGTGAAAGTGACCATGAATTTGTTCGCATTTGGAAACTTTTCTTCACAACTGTGAAAGCTAGAAGAATTCTTTCCTTTTAATGAAAGTTTAGAGTCTGTGGAAACTGCTGGAGCCACCAAAGAAGTGTTGGGATGGTGTGCCAGCCCTTTGCACCTCATTTCAAGACTTGTGGCTGCTTTTTGCAAAATTCAATTTTCATAGACACCTACCCATTTACCTTTGAGATGTGTTACCGGCTGAGCAAGAATCCCCTGGTAAAGGAAAGGCATTTCCCAGTGCAGACATGGCTACAGAACAGCTGTTGAAAAGCTACTGTACAAGTGAGATCATTATAACTAAGGCTGTAAGTCAGTCACGGCAGTCACAGAAGTCACGGATTCCATGACTTTGACTTTTATGCAGCTGCAGCAGCTGGTGTGGTTGATCCCAGGGTCACCCAAGCAGCTGGCCCCGGGACCAGCTGCTGCGGCAGCCCCAGGGCCAGCTGCACTGGCCACTGCCAGAGCAGCAGAGGTGTCAGGGGCCTCGGAGCAGCGGGCAGCCAGAGGCAGTCAGCCCCTGCTGCTGGAGCAGGGCCCAGCTGTCAGCCCCTGGACCCCCCCGGCCCCGAACATCAACGCCCCAGGAGAAGCTAAGATTTAGTCAGGGGTATTTGTAGTAAAAGTCATGGACAGGCCAGGGGCCATGAATTTTTATTCACTGCCCATGACTTTTCCATGACTTCTACTACAAATACCCATGACTAAATCTTAGCCTTAATTATAACACTTTTTGACAAGGCCTGAGGGACATAGCATTGGCTCTTGTCTCACCTCTTCTGTACAGCAGTCGATTAAGGTTTTGGGGGGTCCTTCCCCACCCCTTCTGCCTGAGGCCCCACCACCATTTTGCCTCTTCCGTCTGCGGCTCTTCCCATAGCCCCACCCCTTTCTGATCCTTCCCTGGGGTGCCCCTGGAGGGTCCTCCCCATTCTGCCCCCCCCCCCACCGCAGCCCCACAACCCCTTTTGCTCCTTTCTGCCCCCCCCTCCACTCCAGCCCTAGGATCAGAGAAGCTCTGTCCCCGTGCCATGGCCTGGGGCCACAGCAGGGCGTGAGAGCTCCTCCAGTCCCAGGGCCGCAGCCGGGGTCTGGGTGCTGGGGTTTCCCCCCCACCACCACCTGCTTTTCTGTGGGGAGCAGGGTCAGGCCCTTGGGCTTTCCCTGCTGCCCTGTGGCTTCTGCTGCAGAGTGGGTATGGTGGGTACTTGTGGGGAAGGGGGCGGCCTTCCCCCATCCTGTGGCTGCTGCTGCAGAGCAGGGTCAGGGCATGGGGACTTTCCCTGCCCCGGCAGCCGGGGCTCTGGGCTTCCGCTGCCCAGCCGTGGATTTTTTCTGGGGCCCCTGGACACAGGCCCCATTGCTAATCCACCACTGTTTCTGTAAGCTTTATTTGTCATAATTGTCTTTGGTCTGATTCCACCACCCTTGCTCATGTCAAGTAATACTTTGTTAAATCAATAGTCCCATTGAAAGAAATGGCCCTGCTTTGTATATTGAAGTACTGCTCAGTAGGCTAAATTACAGAACCTTAGTCATATTGAGTAGTACCTTAACTTGTCAAATAGTCCTATAAAACCGCCTCCAAGAAGTGCCCTTTGTAGAGTGCTGTGCTATTTATTGATTAAATATGATCTATAAATGCTCGGTGTTAGGTAAATAAGACCTTGTTTCATGGCTATGACAGTTTCCGAAATAACTCAGTCTGTGTTGGGAATGTTATAATGCCAGTGTTTGACTTCAGATGTTGCTTGCGTGCTGATGGGTACCCACTTTACCACACGCAAATCAAATCAAATCCAGACAATGGTAACTAAACTAAAAATCCCATCCTAAGCCATATTATGTTCTTGGTTTCTGTGCTACCCCTGAAACCAAATGTTCATAAGACAGGTACAATTTAAAGGAAAACATAATAAATTCGATATGTTTGATGAGCATGCATATTAAAGCTCTGTTTGTTCAACAGCGTTTTCTGTAGAAGGTGTGTTGTTGTTGGTAATGGAGGAGTACTTCGAAATAAGACACTAGGGGAGAAAATTGACTCCTACGATGTGGTAATAAGGTAAGTTGTATCTCTTCTTATAGAACAAAGTTTTCATGAGCTGCTTTGGAGTTCAGCTGTTATAGGTTAACCTGTTTAACAATAAAATTCCATTCTATCCTGGATATGCCTGACTACTTCAAGCAATTTGTAAAACAATAAATTGTGTGATACTATATTCTATATAATTAACAGATAACACTGAGTGATGGTTAAGGTTGCACCAAGACCCATCTCACTCACCCATACCTTTGAAAACAGGGAAATAACAGATAAAAGGAAAAGTCTCTAACATTCCTTGCCACCTTCATTTTGCTGTTTACAGCTCTCTCCAAAGGGCATTCATTTACATCCCCACTGCATATAGAAAAGTAATATGTACCCCAACTTTATTCAACAAGCTGTCCACAGCGGCACTTAGGTCAGTGTAACTTATGTCACTCGTGTGTGTGTGTGGCTTATTCACACCCCTGAGCAACATAAGTTATACTCACATAAGTGGTAGTGTAGACATAGTCTCACATTCAATTTGTGACCCCCAGATCCTTTTCAGTAGTACTGCCACCTACCCAGTGATTCCCCAATCTCCTACGTGCTTGCAACCCCTCCCAGCTTGGTGTCTTCTACAGATTTTATATGCATATTCTCCACTCCAGTGTCTGTGATGCTGGCTACATCATAGAACCATAGGGTTAGAAGAGATCGCAAGGGTCATCCAGTCTAACCCACTCCCAAAATGCAGGATTTATTGTGTCTAAACCATCCAAGACAAGTCATAATTTAGTTTATGTACTAATATTTCCCATTCTTCCTGTTTATTCCCCATACTCCTTGTATTTCTCTATTGACATCTAGGATTTTGAGCAGATTCCCCCACGTATTTCCCTCTTGTTGCTCCTATGACACTATTGCAATTTTCGATGTCTCTGCCCCTCCCAACATTTACCTTCTGGTAAGGTTGCCCTTTTTTCCTCATGGGGTTTTGTCACCTGCCCCCTTTGAACCTACTGTAAAGCCCTTCTCACTAGGGTGGTGAGTCAGTGCACAAAGATGCTCTTCCCCTTCCTGAAGTCCTGTGGTGAGGAGGTAAGCCCTATGTTGGATACACTGAATCTACCTAACGCCTCTGTCATGAGAAGATAACTCCTGAACTGTCTTAATAGCGTCTGACTTCATTAACGTGCCAGCCAGCACTACTCCTGTGTCTGCATTCTACTTTAGGTCATTTAGTAACAATATTGGCTTTGATTAGTAACATTGTATAATTTGTTACATCTAATATCCTGGGACCAACACAGCTGCAACAATACTGCAAACAATGTTCGAGCTGTAACTTTTAAACCTTTATATAACTCTTTATACAAAATATGTTGCCACTTTTAAACAAACTCTATTTCAGTCTTCTCCTAGAAAAGAATTTTGCATTCTTCGTTTCATAGCTCAGAGTGCTATGATGGTTTTAAAAAGGGATCCCAAGAAAATGTCAGGCGCCAGAAAAATTTTAATCAAATTTTAACCCTAGCATAACTTTACCTGTTGTGGTACCACCACCAAACTTCTTCTTATGGTACTGATATACTGTTTCAAAGGTATATTGTGGTGTAAATTCAAACAGTGCTTTACAAATACAAGACATGCTCATTCGCCATCAAGAGCGTACAATCTAATGGCATTAGTTTGCAGACAGTGCCTTCTACAGCCAATAGTCGATCTCTTTAGAGTAAATAGGACCAGTCATGGTAGTAAGCATTATGCTGCATAGCAAATGTTTGCAAGGCCAGGCAGGCCCTGAGAGAGATGAGAAAAAAATACATGAAAATTCAGGGAAAGGAAAATTATTGCGAAGAAGGAAAGATAGCAGAATTCTTGGAAGAAGTAGCTTTTAAGGAGGGTTTTGGAGAAGGGGGCAGAGGACTTGATGGACATGAAGTGGTAGTGTTGTAGGCATTGCAAACAAGATAATAGACCAGGGGTTCTCAAACAGGGGGGTTGGACTCCTCAGAGGGTCGTGAGGTTATTACGGGGGGGGGGGTCGCGAGCTGCCAGCGTCCACCCCAAACTCTGCTTTGCCTCCAGCATTTATAATGGTATTAAATATATTTAAGTGTTTTTAATTTATAAGGGGGGGGGGTCACACTCAGAGACTTGCTATGTGAAAGGGGTCACCAGTACAAAAGTTTGAGAACCCCTGTAATAGATGATGCAAAGCTTAGTGCAGAAAGAGCTGAAAGGAGCAGTGAGGGAAGAGGATTGGGAAGAATAAAGAGAGAGCTGGTGTGCTAAATAAAGTAGCACAACAATGAATCTAACTTTCCCCTTAAGTAAATCCTGTTTTTTAAAGGTTTCAGAGTAGCAGCCGTGTTAGTCTGTATTCGCATAAAGAAAAGGAGTACTTGTGGCACCTCAGAGACTAACAAATTTATTTGAGCATAAGCTTTCGTGAGCTATAGCTCACTTCATTGGATGCATAAAGTGGAAAATGCAATGAGGATGTTTTATACACACAGACCATGAAAAAATGTGTTTATCACTTCAAAAGGTTTTCTCTCTCCCCACCCCACTCTCCTGCTGGTAATAGCTTATCTAAAGTGATCACTCTCCTTACAATGTATATGATAATCAAGGTGGGCCTGAGGAGGGAGTCTACATAGCCAGACAATCCTTCTGTCAGGGTGCCAATGCCTGAGATGATGGGGCTCCCAGGATTTCCAGGTTTATGGATCTTGGGTAGTAGATAAAATATCCCAGGTTGGGGTTCCAGGGGTGTGTCTGTGCGGATTTGATCTTGTGCTTTTTCAGGGAGTTTCTTGAGCAAATGGCATAGTTTCTTTTGGTAACCCTCAGTGGGATCAGAGGGTAATGGCTTGTAGAAAGTGGTGTTGGAGAGCTGCCGAGCAGCCTCTTGTTCATATTCCAACCTATTCATGATGACAACAGCACCTCCTTTGTCAGCCTTTTTGATTATGATGTCAGAGTTGTTTCTGAGGCTGTGGATGGCAGAATTATGGCAGAATTATGTCAGCAGGATTGTCTGGCTATGTAGACTCCCTCCTCAGGCCCTACGCTACCAGCACTCCCAGCTATCTTCGAGACACCACTGACTTCCTAAGGAAACTACAATCCAAATCGGTGATCTTCCTGAAAACACCATCGTGGCCACTATGGATGTACAAGCCCTCTACACCAACATTCCACACAAAGATGGACTACAAGCCGTCAGGAACACTATCCCCGATAATGTCACGGCAAACTGGGTGGCTGAACTTTGTGACTTTGTCCTCACCCATCACTATTTCACGTTTGGGGACAATGTATACCTTCAAATCAGCAGCACTGCTATGGGTACTCGCATGGCCCCACAGTATGCCAACATTTTTATGGCTGATTTAGAACAACGCTTCCTCAGATCTCGTCCCCAATGCCCCTACTCTACTTGCGCTATATTGATGACATCTTCATCATCTGGACCCATGGAAAAGAAGCCCTTGAGGAATTCCACCATGATTTCAACAATTTCCATCCCACCATCAACCTCAGCCTGGACCATTCCACACAAGAGATCCACTTCCTGGACACTGCAGTGCTAATAAGCGATGGTCACACAAACACCACCCTATACCGGAAACCTACTGACCGCTATTCCTACCTACATGCCTCCAGCTTTCACCCAGACCACACCACACAGTCCATTGTCTACAGCCAAGCTCTACGATACAACTGCATTTGCTCCAACCCCTCAGACAGAGACAAACAAGATCTCTATCAAGCATTCTTACAACTACAATATCCACCTGCTGAAGTGAAGAAACAGATTGACAGAGCCAGAAGAGTACCCAGAAGTCACCTACTACAGGGCAGGCATAATAAAGAAAATAACAGAAAGCCACTAGCCATTACCTTCAGCCCCCAACTAAAACCCCTCCAAGGCATTATCAAGGATCTACAACCTATCCTGAAGGACGACCCATCACTCTCACAAATCTTGGGAGACAGGCCAGTCCTTGCTTACAGACAGCCCCCCAACCTGAAGCAAATACTCACCAGCAACCACACACCACACAACAGAACCACTAACCCAGGAACCTGTCCTTGCAACAAAGCCCATAGCCAGCTGTGCCCACATATCTATTCAGGGGACACCATCACAGGGCCTAATAACATCAGCCACACTATCAGAGGCTTGTTCACCTGCACATCTACCAATGTGATATATGCTATCATGTGCCAGCAGTGCCCCTCTGCCATGTACATTGGCCAAACCGGACAGTCTCTACGTAAAAGAATAAATGGACACAAATCAGATATCAAGAATTATAACATTCAGAAACCAGTCGGAGAACACTTCAATCTCTCTAGTCATGCAATTACAGACATGAAAATTGCGATATTACAACAGAAAAACTTCAAAACCAGACTCCAGTGAGAGACTGCTGAATTGGAATTCATTTGCAAATTGGATACAATTAACTTAGGTTACCTTGCATAATGACTTAGCCACTCCCAGTCTCTATTCAAGCCTATTTCCCCTTGTTTTTTCCTACCCCCCGCATTCCTCAGACGTTCTTGTTAAACCCTGGATTTGTGCTGGAAATGGCCCACCTTGATTATCATACACATTGTAAGGAGAGTGATCACTTTAGATAAGCTATTACCAGCAGGAGAGTGGGGTGGGGAGAGAGAAAACCTTTTGAAGTGATAAACACCCATTTTTTCATGGTCTGTGTGTATAAAACATCCTCACTGCATTTTCCACTTTATGCATCCGATGAAGTGAGCTGTAGCTCACGAAAGCTTATGCTCAAATAAATTGGTTAGTCTCTAAGGTGCCACAAGTCCTCCTTTTCTTTCTGTTTTTTAAAGTTATGTGACAAGGGTACCTAGCTGACCTATGGTGTCTTTTTAAGTCCATGAAGACTCTTTAAAATCAACATGTATATACGGTAATCATTAACATTACATCAGAAATGAACTCACTTATTACCATGGACCTGTCCCACAAATACTGGAACCAGCTGTAACAAATAGAATTTTCCATAGTTTCTTTCTTCTTTTAAGTATTATTCATTTCCAAGCCCCTGCCCTGAGGAGTCTGCAGCCTAACTCAGACAAATGTGATACACAGTGTCATGTTTTAGACAAAGTGATAGAGATCGTCTTCTTGAGATTTTGTGAAAGCAGTGGATTTTAAGGAGGACTGGGAGAGTTCTTAGCATGCAAGGATTGGCAGATGGTTCCAAAGAGTACAGGACAGCCACAAAGTAAAGGATGTGCGATGGTGATTTGTACTAATACTTCCACCACTTGTCAGCTTGTTTAACTCTTCAGGGCAGAACAGAGTCCCCAATATCTTGGCTTCCCCCTTTTCTTTAATTCAGTGTCTCTGAGAGCAGCAGTCACTCAGCATTTACAAATATTAATTAAAAAAAAACCCCAGAAACTATATAAATGCACCACATAGGTTAAATTAAAACTAGGTAAATGATGGACACGGTCTGAACCCTAATTCTGTCGAGATATAGAAGAGAATTAATTCTCTTCATTTATCCAACACTTGGGAGGTTGTATTGTCTTCTCTGGAACCTGGATCTTCCAGCAGTTAATCAATAGCTATCCGTGCCAGGGCTTTCCTGGGGTGTTTTCACCACATTTGAGGATCTACCTAAGTATAGGATACACTGTCTCCAGTTCCCCCTCTTTCTGAGCTGTTTCTCCAGCACAAATCCACCTTCAGCTGACTCTCCAGCACGTACGACTGGCCAGCAACTTTTCTAGAACGTCCCTATCCGTAAGTGTACATAGATTTACCCTGGGGAATTGCCAGGGTGACTCTCCTGTTGTCTGCTCTAGGACAGTTTAGCTTTGTAGTGACCAGTTCTACCACATTTGTTACTCTCCCATCTTGGCTGTCAATTTACTAAACAAAAGAAACAAGAAAACAAAGGGCCTGGCTTCCTCCATCATGACTTAGGAGAAAATTGCTACTGAATTAAACTGAACTAGATAATCTGAAGTTTTAAGGCAGTATTCGTTTATGGGCCAAGTCAGAGGGAATCTTGCTGGAGTGGGGCTGCATGGTTGGCAATATTGTCATTTATTCTGAACCTTCTTGACCACATTTCCTAACAAGTTTGAAGACCCTGGGCTAAATTGTCAATGCAGGATCTACCTGCACATCTCCCAATTAACATTATTAATAAAAGTCACACTGCTAAATCCTTGTGCTATTTGCCCTGCAGAGCCCATCAAAATGGATTTATGGTGATCCTCTCTGTATATATTTTTTTCTCCCTTTGCCTACAGAATGAATAATGGTCCCGTCATAGGGTACGAAGAGGATGTTGGAAGGAGGACAACTTTCCGACTTTTTTATCCAGAGTCTATTTTTTCAGATCCAATTAACTATGATCCTAACACTACTGTAATTCTTCTTGTCTTCAAACCACATGACTTAAAGTGGCTCTGGAACATACTGAGTGGTCATAAAATAGTAAGTTTATTTATTTATTATATTTAGTTAGTTTTGGTTCAAATTGTCTTGGCTTTGATTATCTGGGCTGAGTGTATGCATCAACCTCTTTGTAGTACTCTTGGAAGTAAAGTGCTGTAATAAACTGAAGTAATTATCAGAACAGCTCATGCTATGTTCCTACAATTTAGCTGAAGACAAGAAAAACTTTGGAAAATAGTCTTGGTCAAAGCCTCAGCTGATGTCAATCAGTATAATTGAACTGAATGGAACTACAGCAGTTCACACCAGCTGAGGATATTACCCTCTGTTTTGAAACCATTCTACCTGTGTCATATAGTTTTTGGATTCTTTCCCCCGTCCCAACCCCCCCACACCAGGCCCCAATTCCTTCCTCCACAGTTTTATATTGCTAGGAATATATGCATGGAAACAGGATTTTATTTTTTTAAGTATTCATCCCCACTTGCTCTCTGTTCTACACCTAAATGAGAATTATTTTGATCCACACTGGATCATGGAATGGGAGCTCAACTGATTTACATGGCAGATGGAGAAGGAGAATTTTTTTATAGGACGTGGTATTGTTTTAACACGTAAGGGACATTAGGCTTGTTTCTGCTCTTCCTTACTCTGGAATCACTGGGTTATTGGGGAAGGTGGACTAGATGATCGGAATGGCCTCTTTTAGCCTTAAAATTTATTAAACTTCAGTTGAATTACTCCTGATTTTTATACCAATTCAAGTGAGATCAAAATCAGTTACTCCATTTTCAAAGTGAGTGATAAGCACAGTACCTGCCAACATTCTCAAAGCAAACATCAGTAGATTCTGAATTTGCATAAATGTATGTAACTTGCATCATTTTGAATAAATCTGCATAGTCTATAGGGAAAACCCTGTAAGGTAGAATTGGCAACCCTGTAAGCAGCAGAAGGAACTAAAATCAAAATGAATTCCCTGTCCGTGCAAACGAGCAAGCAAAGTACAGAAAATATGACTGATCAACCAAATTGTCTCAAAATCGTATAGGCCAAATTCTGCCTTCAGATACATAGGTGAAAGTGCTGTTGACTTCAGGGGGAGATGTCCCCATATATCTGAAGGTATTATTGGGCCCAGTGTTTTTCTAACTGTTCTATACTGTGCCAGAAATACTACTGGTGGGTATTTTATATACAAGAAACTCCATTATTTTTCTTATACTTAGTGACATTTTGAGAAATGTAAAAAATCAAAGACTCTATCATGATTTTTATTTATTTATTTATTTTAAATCATGTCTGTGGCTTCTCCTCTCTGCCCACTCCAAATGCATGACGTGTGAGTTAGACTTAGAGATGCTACAGAAAAGCAAAATCAACTAAGCCTAAAAGTAAAACAGTATATTTGACTATTACAGAATACTAATAGTTTCTGGAAGAAACCCGCCTTGAAAATGATATATAAAGCTAACCAAATCAGGGTACTTGACCCTGTCATTATCAGAAAAACAGCACATGAATGGCTTCAGTTCCCAACAAAGTTTCCCAGAAAAGAAGTAGGTATATTTTTGTTTGTTTCCAAGTAGATTATATAAAATTATCACCATAATCTGTTTGTTGTAATTCAGTATGTTGAAAAACCTCTTTCAGGTTTACGCTATATTATTGTTTTTTGGGGTTCTTTAAAATAATTTCATTGACATTTTCATTAGACAAAACCACACCATGGCCTTGTTTAGTCATTGACTATGAAGCACATCTGTATGTCTTAAAGTGTGCAGTATTTCCCATGCTTGTTTTGTAGTTTTAACATGAGTTAACTGGTTGAGATGAGCCCTACAGCTTTAGCTAACACACATCAAAAATAGACCTTTTATCCTAGTGTGGATATGGCTTCTGTGTCTACATAGATTCATGTAGCATATACATACAGAGGAAAAGAATACATAATAGCATGTGTGGGGAGAGGGGCTATAAAGACTTCATCATAATGGATTTGGGCTGGCTAAATTAGCCACTGGAATGAGATGGGCAATATTCAGTCCTGGAAAAATAGTGGTTTTAAGGTGTAATGGCTCATAACTAGAATGGAAAGCTTTATATCACTGGCTTCTATCCTTGCCTTCCAATAGGACATAGCCCTCACTTCAGCCCTGGAAAGTTCATAGACATTGCATCCCAACCATACAGCATTACCATGCATGGAAAAACTATATAGGTAAATTTTGCAGAAGTTAGTAAAATGTATCAGTTTTATTTTTCCTCCCCCATCCTCAGTGAGATTCACGATACTAAGCTTTTAGTGTTGGAGGAATATGAAAAATGGTGCCAATGTGGTTTTTATTTTAAACTGCCTGAAATATTCCTAAAATATTTTTGTTTATAAAACATTCAGCATAAACAGAATACCTAATGGTGGGGTTTGTTATAAAGATTTTAGTGGCACTTGCTTAGGTTGAGGTGTATATCAATTGAGCAATAGGGGCATCCTCAGTTAAACCTTTCCACCATCTGCCCCAGAGAGTCTTTCAGCATTTAATACACTGAAGCGTGTGACATCTTACCCGTTCCTTCAGAGATTAAAAAAAAGCATTGCCAAATAGGTAACACTGCTGTGGTGTTGAGTAAAGAACCACAAGAGAGGGAGAGGATACTTTTCTCAGTGGTGCCGTTAAGACTGGGCACTGGCATAGAAGTCCAAGGAGTCACAAAACCAGGAAAAAGAAAGACGTTTAGCCAGGGACGCCGGTACAGAACCCAGATTCATGGTTTTGTTATTCAAACATTGTTTTTAATGATGAAATATATTTGTAATTTATAACAAGACCCTCTGCATTTGGGGGCTATCATTCCTTAGTGGGCTCCTGCATAGTTCTGTCCTCTTCCAACAGCCTCTTTGCATTCTAGTGGAAGCAGTGCCATCAAGTGGTAGCTTTGCAAATTGAGGCAGAGCATTGCGATTGACGTAACCTCTTATTTTTATATTAAAATAATTTTAATTGATAGTTTCTTTCTAAAGAATGTTCTAACAGAACTGTAGGTTTCGACCTGTAAACCTTCTTTGTATAGGCAAGATTGATCTTAGACTGCACAGGCCTTTGTGATGTTAAGTAAATAAGCTTCATCTGCCATACCCTGAGGCCACAGACTAGTTGTTACACAAAGTGCTGTATCATAAAAGAGCAGCTGACGCCCCATGGAAATCTTTCCAAAGTATCCTCTGTAGAATAAATACCACATTTGTCTAATTTGACCTTCCTAATAGTTCTTGCTAAGCATATTTGATTTCCATGAAAGCAAATGTATCTGTTCCTGCTGCTTTTTTTTCTCTTACATTAAATCACAACTTGCATCTGCTAGCTCAGATGGGTTCTTTGGAAAGGACTGGAATGTCACAAAGGTGTTTATGGCTTCAAATGGGAGATAAAGCAACCGGAGCAGAGGAGAATCTAATGACCCTCTCAAGCCCCATAGACAGAGTGACCAGATGTCCCGATTTTATAGGGACAGTCCTGATATTTGGGGCTTTGTCTTATATAGGCACCCATTACCCCACACCCCTTGTCACGATTTTTCACACTGGCTATCTGGACTTCCTACCCACAGAAAGCCCAGTGGCTTTGTGAACTCTATGTTAGGAAATATTGTCCCCCTTAAAGGTGGCCTCAGCCCCTTCCGGGAGTGGCATGGGGTCAGGATAGGCAGGAAGCCTGTCTTAGTGGCAACTACACTGCACCGCTGATCAGGAGTTGCCAGAAGTAAGTGCTGCCTGGTGGGAGGCTGCACCCCAAACCTCTTCCTGCACCCCAGCCCTGAGCCCCCTCCCAGAGCCAGTACCCTGTACCCCCTCCGGCACCCCAGCACTCTGCTCCATCCCGGAGCCCCCTCCTGCACTCAAACACCTTCTCAGAGCCTGCACCCCACACCCTCTCCTGTACCCCAACCCCCTGCCCCCGGCTCAGCCCAGAGCCCCCTCCCACACTGCAAACCCCCAGCCCAGAGCCCGCACCCCCTCCCGAACCGTAATCCCCTACCGCAGCCCGGTGAAAGTGAGTGAGGGTTGGGGAGAGCGAGTGACGGGGCGGGGAAGGGGGGATGGAGTGACAGGGCGGGGCTTTGGGGAAGGGGTGGGGTAGATCCTGGGCTGCCCTTAAATTCAAAAAATGATCTTGGGCGTAAAAAGGTTGGAGAGCCCTACAAGAGGTCATCAGATAGATCCAGTAGTAACAATGAATTGAATATTCACATAGTCTTCCTCTGCTCTGGTAATACATTTTAATTGGCTCTTCAGAATTAAAAACTGGACACTGCTCATAGTTATCTTTAATGTACAAAGTGATGTTTTGACTTCTATGGTGTGGATATATGTTGCTGGGTCTAGTTCTAGAGACCTAAACAATTTCATCACTCTTGACAATTTTTCTTCCAGAAGAAAAAATTTTTTTTCTTTCTGAAATTACCAGCTCTGAAAAAGCTCAGAGCTACTTTTAGCAACGTTGCTAACTTTTTAGCACTGCAGAGTCATTAGTGCATTTTATGTTGTTGTTAAAACCCCCACTCTTGGATTTGTCTCCTTATATCAAGCTGACAATTATATTTGTTTGTTTGTGCTTTTAGAAACCCAAACATCCTACAACAGGGCTAATTGCCATCACGATGGCATTTCACATATGCAGTGAAGTTCACCTGGCAGGCTTTAAGTACAACTTCACTGACCGAAACAGTTCTTTGCATTATTATGGCAATGAGACCATGTCTGAGATGATTGAGGTAATGTACTATTTTCTTTTATGGTAAATGCTTAGAGAAAAATAGTCTTGTGCTAATAAGCTGGGAGACACAATGGTCTGAAAGAATGAGCATGGTTGAGGAGTCGGAAAGTCTTGAGTTCTATTCCTGGCTCTAGTACTGATTGGCTTTTTGGCATTAGTCAAGTCACTTTACCCTGCCTCAGTTTCCCCTTCTGTAAAATGGGTGGAGCTGGTCAGAAGTTTTCCAGTGGAATGTTTTTCTGTTGGAAAATGCCAGTTAGTCAAAACTGACACATTCTGCAGAAACATGTCTGTTTCATAGAATCATAGAGCTGGGAGGGACCTTGAGAAGTCACCTCATCCATCTCCCCCACACTGAGCCAGGACCAAGTAAACCTACCTAGACCATTCTGGGTAGGTGTTTCTCTAACCTGTTCTTAAAAACCTCCAGTGGTGGGGATTCCACAACCTCCCTTGGTAACCTATTCCAGAGCTTAATGACCCTTATGGTTAGAACATTCTTCCAAAAGTCTAATCTAAATCTCTCTTGCTGCAGATTAAGCCCATTACTTCTCCATGTCCCTGGAAAGTAGATAAGAACAACTGATCTCCATCCTCTTTATAACAGCCCCTAACACATTTGAAGACTGTTATTAGGTCCCCCTCAGTCGTCTTTTCCCAAGGCTAAACATGCCCAGGTTTTTTAACCTTTCTTCATAGGTCGGGTTTTCTAAACTTTGTATCATTTTTCTTGCTCTCCTCTAGACTCATTCCAATTTGTCCACATCTTTCTTAAAGTATAGCACCCTGAATCGGACACAAGTATTTCAGTGGAGATCTCACTAGTGCAGAATAGAGTGGGACAGTTACTTCAGGTCTTCCATATAATGCTCCTGTTAATATACCCCTGAACAATATTTGCCATTTTCACAACTGCATCACATTGTTGGCTCATATCAGGGGTGCAACCAGAATGACTCCTGGCTCACATCAACTTGTGATCCACTATAACCCCCAGATCCTTTTCAGCAGTACTATCACCTAGCCAGTTATTCCCCATTTTATAGTTGTGCATTTGATTTTGTTTTCCTAAGTTTAGTACTGTGCCCTTGTCTTTATGAAATTTCATCTTGTTGATTTCCGACCAATTCCCCAATTTGTCAAGGTTGTTTTGAATTCTAATCCTGTTCTCTAAAGTGCTTGCAACCCCTCCCAGCTTGGTATCAGCTACTCATTTTATAACCACACTCTCCACTCCACTATCCAACTCATTAATGAAAATATTGAATGGACCTCGGACCGACCCCTGTGAGACCCCACTACATAAACCCTCCCAGTTTGACAGCAAACCATTGATAACTATTCTTTGAGTATGGTCTTTCAACCAGTTGTGCATCCACCTTATAGTAGATGTCATCTAGATCACATTTCCCTAGTTTACTTATGGAAATGTCAAGTGGGACTGTGTCAAAGCCTTACCAAAATCAAGATATATCACATCACAAGAACAGCCATATTGGGTCAGACCAAAGGTCCATCTAGCCCAGTATCCTGTCTTCTGACAGTGGCCAATGCCAGGTGCTTCAGAAGGAGTCTACTGTTTGCCCCCTATGCAGTAGTCCAGGGACAGTGTCAAAGCAGAAAATTAGGTTTCCACAAATCTTCCAATGGAAGAGAGGCAGATTTCAAAACTTTCCTGCCAGGCAGGTTTCTGTCAGAAGGAACCGAGGAGCAGACCCACACAATTTTTGCTTGATGGGAAGAGAGAGCAGAGCTGGCCTTGAGATGCTGGGTTTTTTTCTGCTCCTTCCTGCCCTCTTGTGGAAATTATTTGGGCTGGCAACTACTTTCCTCTACACTCTGCCCTGTCTGAAATTTTTTGTTGGCTCCTGAGGAGTCAGGGGGAGCTCTGCTTGACAGGGCAGCGTTGGCTGCTGCTGTAGAAGAGGCAGCAGAGGAAAGACAGATGGCCAATCAGTTGAGGATTTCCCTAGGTGGGGTTTTTCCACAGACACACAGAAGGGTCAGAAAACCACTAGTCTGTCCCCACAGTATTTGGGAGGTTTGTGTAGGGCCTGATCCAAAACACATTGAAGTCAGTGAAAAGACTTCCATTTACTTCAATAGGCTTTGGATTGGGGCTGAGGAAGAGGAGATAGATTGGAATTTGGAGGGAGGGGCTGTTTTTGATGTATTGTCTAGAGACTGACTGATAGGACCCAGACCTGCCAAAAATTCGTCTGTGCACTATTCATGAAATCAGGTGGAGCTTTAAAAATAAATTCTTTTCCAATTCTGTATGAAGAAAGAAGTTTTCTAAATATGTATATTTATCTATTTCATATAAGCATGATGTGGAATCCTGGAAGTTAGTCATGGAAGAGGCCTCTGAGGTCACGTCCAGTCCATCTCTCTGCCACTGATAGATTATTCCCTGCAGTATAGTTTCTAATATGAGTCTAGTCTGGTTTTGACTTCCACCACTTCTCTTGGGAGGCTATTCCTCAGCCTTTGGATATATGCACACTGCACGCTTCTTTCAGTGGCTGTATAGTACATACCCAGGTAGCACCCCCAGCAAGGGTATAAATAGCAGTGTAGCCAGTGAGGGACAGTTTAGGTAGGTATAGTATGGACACACCTGAGTACATGCCCTACATAGCTCTCTACTCGCTCAAGCTGTGTCTCCCTAGCTGCACTGTTATTTTTTAGCAATGTAGTGTCCCGTTGCTCGGGCCTTTTACTGCCAGAGGTAAAGACTCTGTCAGTGGGGAAGGGCTCTGGCAGGGGGTGGACTTTCCTGCTGCCACCCCCTGCCAGAGCCTTTCACTGACAAATCGCTATGTGCTACAGTGTGGATGCAGCCTGCTTTTCACTGCTGCATGTAGCTGTATGTACACTATATGTTGTCACCAATGGTGTGCAGAGTAGGCGTAGCCTATAAGTGTATGAGTCCCTTCCCACAAACGTTTCTGGCTATAGCATTATGTAAGTAATCCATTTGATTCATGGAAAAGAGCGTACCTTTGTTGTTTGCAGTAACAATTTGATTTTGTCTTGTTTCCCCACACCCCGCCCCCCCTTCAGAATGGATACCACAACATCATTGCTGAGCAAACGTTTTTGAAGTCGCTTATAGATAAGAACTTTGTGATCAGCTTGACATGAGACTGAATAGACAATGGCAGAATGATCACTATTTTCAACAAGATAGATTTTATTTTTTGTACTGTATTTTTATTTTTTAAATGCCATATCTATTACTGAAATATTTAAAAGAAGCACGGATGCCTCATAAAGGTGGCGGTAGTGGAGTGCCACTGTCTAAGACTGATGATGAGTCGCTATCTCCTGGACACAAGTAGAGTGAACTGATGTCTGTGACTCTATTTAATTATGAAAAAATACAACCTTCAGCTAAAAAATATCAGGGATATATAAAAATATGATGCACACCATTTATTTAACAATAAGAAAAAAAAATTCAGCAACTGATGTCTTTTCCGTATCTTCCTTTCCTGTTGCCCAGAGACTTGGAAGGCTATGAAATAATTGATAAAGGGATACAAAGTCTTTCACCCCTCTCTTCTGGTTTGAAAACGATTTAGGATAAGTGTATCTGCAAATCATTACTATCTGAAGGATGTCTAGTAGCTGTATAGTATATAAAGTGCATTTTTAGTCTCAGTCCACCTCCCAGAGGGCAGATGTCCACATCATAGAAAATCACCTTCATAATTCACACAAACTGGTGTTTTCTTGTTGTCTATCTCAACAAAGAGGCCCCAGACTGAACTGCCCATGGACTTCTGGATATAGCACGTGTACACCTGGGTTGGAGACCCACTGGTATAACAGTGTGGGGAAGTCTGGATTGATTCTGCTCATGCTGTATCTAATATATGGATACATTTGTTCTCAGTGCTGTCAGTCTGATTTATTTCACAAGCACCTGAATTCATTTTTAAGAGGTAAGCACAATCTCCTTTAAACTGTGGAATTATAGAAGAGTTTTAAATATCTGAGTTGTTTTGACACTACTGTGCAGTATTGACCATTTTCAGATGGATTCGCAACCAGAACACCCCAATGAATATGAACTAGAATCTTGAGTTTGTAAATTAAAATTTCTTTCAAACAAAATGTCTTTGATGAATAGATTTCCCTCCCCTCCCCAAACACACACACTCCAGAAGCCTTTGCACTTCTTATTCTCCCAAAGATGAAGATATATTTTCCAAAACAGCACAATTCCCCTCACCATAACAGGTAACTGTGAAGGGTTTCAAGAGCACCAAGAGATCATCACATGCACCAATCATCTTCTATATTTCTTGACAGTATGAGCAAAACAGCATCTGAGACACACATTGACCAATTCAGAGAATTACAATTTTGTTTTTATCTGGCAATTCCTTTGTCCTCCTTTCCTTTTATTTTTTCCTGTTCTCTTGAGTTTTAGGCTCTGTGTGTGTGTAACAGTTTCAAAAGTGCCTAAATGATTTAGGCAACTAAATCCTATTTTCAAACGTGATTTACGTACTTTGGAGCCTAAATCCTAACTCCTAAGTGCCTTAGTCATTCTGAAAATGGGGCCTAGACTTCTAAGTCACTTAGGGTCTTTTGAATTTTTTTACTCAGGATCTTCAACTATAAAATGTTTGGTGGGATAGTCATATATTGTGAACCAGTTTTCTCACAGAAGTCCATAGTAGCTCTAAGTGAAATCTGCTTGAGAATGTCACCAGGAGCTATGAAGGCCTAAGTTGCAAAGTAAAATTCCATTCTAATCATCCTATAAGGTACATTAGTCAGGGGAGGTACGTTTTAAAGCTCTGTGGTCAATTGATCGATCTTCTAGGAATCAGAAAATCACAAAGAAGTATGTTTCAAAGGAATTTTGAAAGTGGATAAAATAATCTAATATTCCACAGCAGTATATATTAATTTGAACAGAGATTAATCTAAAAAACTAGGAGTGCAGGATTGCCTTCTTCAGAAACGAGGGCATGAAGCAAAAGACTGAATCTTGCTATAGAGTATTGACCACTATTTTCTTGCGTCATAAATGTAAAAGTAAGCAAGTACCTGGTTTAGATTAGAGTGAAGTGGTCAAAGATTTTCTATTACACATTTTCTATTTCTGTCTGTCAGAATTGTTACAAGTATTTTAAAAAATTTATATGGGTCTCACCCTCTCTCTCTCTCTCTCTTTTTTTTAGCTGCTTGGTTCTAATGAGTGCTATAATTTTTTTTATCCCCGATGGTCTCAGATTAAGCTTGTTGGATTAGTCAGGCCTAAACTCTAGTGAGGCCACATCATACTACATTTTGTAAGGACATGATGATTTTGAGTAATTCCAAATGTCTTTAGAAGGTGATATTGAGGCTCTTGCTCTGTTAATCATGTTTACACTATTTTTCTCACCTCCACACTGCCATCATTTTTAGGCCCTTGCTTGAAAATTTATACGCAAATTGATCCATTGTTTTTCACAAGACCTTGAAGCTGGCTAGCATTCATTTCAATTCATTTAAAAGGCTTGTTTGTGTGGAAAGAAAACCATGAGGAGGTGCATCAGAAGAATTACAGTCATTATTTTTATGTGTTTAGTGCTGTTGAGAGAGGTTTTTATGTAATTACTACATGTGCAGCTTTCAAAAAGCACTCCGCATCAGTGCTGGCCTAACTCTGTACCCCTTGAAGACATTGGTAAAACTCCCACTTCCGTGAAAGCAGAGTTATGCCAAAAGTGAAAATTCTACCTTATAAAACTAGGAACACGGCAGCCTCATGCTGGTCCAACTACATGAGGTCTCTTAAGTATCTGTATAGAACCCATTACATTCTGGCAGTATATAGGTAGTAAAGACTTGTACCAAAGTGTCCAACTGTATCAAAGTGTCAGCGTTTAGTATGATAGTATCACAGGATCGCTTTCTAAAATTAGCTATATAATTTTCCCTCTCCTTTTGAGCATCCCCTGGTATTTATCTTTGTCATTTCTCTTTCCTTTCCTTTCCACCTTCTTCCTCATTGAAGAAGGGATACAGCAACACATAGCTTTGGAGAAGTGATTGTTCCTCATCTATACTTGTTCTCCAAATTGGTGTCGTCCATAAATCTACTCTCATCCACCTACATCTTTTCTTAAGTTCCTGTCATACGGTTTTTTGTTTGTTTGGAGACATAGAAATAAGTCATGGGTAGGTTTCAGCCAAAAGAGCTGACAATTGGGGTTTGTGACAGTCTAGTTAGTCACCTAAACTATACACACATCACCAAATGGTGACAACTGGGAAGGGGGAGATGGTTGTGAGGGAATGCAAAGAGAACAAAGTTAAGCTTTCAGAGCACTCCAATACATGCTTTGAATGCTACATATATAGAGCAGAGGGTACTGTCTTCAGAAAGCATAATTTATGGGTAAGTAATTTTATCTTTGATACTAAGCAGTGAAATAATTATTACAAAGATTTTTTTGGTAGCATAATGCAGGCTTTATAGAATTCTGTATACATTGGACCTGTTTCTCCGCTGCCATGTACCCTGTGTAGTTATTTACACCTGGGGAATGTGGACACCACATGGTTTCAAATCAGAATAGTAGCATTTTGCACCCATGTTGCACAGGTGTAAATAACTACACAAGGTGCTAGGTAGTGGAGAATCAGAATCATGGTGTCTGTTTTAAATATAACACATTTTTCAGGTCATCCTGTGCCACTGTTATTCCAACTTGCCTTGAGATTTTTCCTTTTAAAAATAAGTTGAGCAATTGGAGGAGGAACTTTTTCTAAGACTCGCTTTCTACAATGGGCCACTCTATTAAAAGCTGCTTTTTAATTTGATATCTGCAACAGTACAAGTTGAATTCCAGGATACTGCAAGCTGTAGTTCCATGTAGCGTGCCAGTATAACTGTGCCGAATACTAATGAATTTATTTCGGTTTTCCTTCTGTCAGCTGCAATAGACCATTTGCTTTAAGGCCCCAGTCAAAACACCACTGAAGTGAAGGAGAGTCTTCAGTGGCCTTTGGGGAAGATTCTTAAAGCAATGGACTGAGCTTGCTGTGTTGTGAAAGTTATCTTAATTTCTTCAACTGTAACAATTAAGGGCAATTCTGAGATGTAACTAAAAGACAGGTTACAGATTAATGCACGAAGGATGAATCTGTGAGTGTTTAATGCACATCTGTAGATTACATTTCAAATGAAAATGTATTATTCCTATTTTGGAATGACAAGAAGGGTGTTTAATAATTAGTATGTGACGTGTATTGTTATGTACACAAATAATATACGTATCTTTTTTCCAAACACCCTTACAGGGCACTTTTACATATTTTCTTAACCTAAAATATGGGAACAGGGGTGTTGTTTGTGTGGCTGTGTTGTTTTTGTATGTGTTTTAATAATTTTAAGAGTATGTGAAAATCAATGTTTTGTTTTTCTGGTTTCCATAAATATTTGATTTCATTTGCTGTTTGGCTTGATTTTTGTGTGTCTTTTACACAAACTGTATTTTGACAGTCATTGGCTGTTAACAGGTATTTTAAGTGGAGTTTTGAATATTGTGAGTCAGATTATTTTCCATATAATAAATCTGTTTTAAGGACACTGCCCTCTTCAGGCACATTTTAGCAAATCACAGTGCTAGACCTCATTACAGCACTATATAAATGATGTATGGTGGCTCTATCATTGCCGTTCAGTTGACACATTTAATTTGATAAAGGAGATGTCAAGTTTCTATGGTGGTGGGTAGAGAAATGGGGAGGGAAAGTGCCATCCATGTAACTTTAACATGAGCTGTAGCATAGTGCACAAATGATACACTCTATCAGAACGGTGGCTTTTGCTTTCTCAAAATTGAGGGGCAGGACAAAATCACTCTTTTTTGGGAAGATTGACACTTTGCAAATTAGGTTTCAAACTACTCTTTGCTGAGCAAAAGCAAAATCTTGTCACGGTTGGTGATGGTAAATTTCATCAAAGAAGAAAATTCTCTTAGAGGCAACATTTTCATGGGTTTTTAATCTTGTTCATCACGAGTCGTGTCTGGAAGCTCAATAGGAAGAGCTTGAGGAAACAGGAAGCTCACGAGAGACTTCGGAGGAAAAGCAGAGAAATACTAAAGAACATATTGTTTGCCTCAGTGCTATTTGTTTTTTCTCACTTTTTCCCCCCATGAACTTGAGTTTGGAAAAGAAAAAGCCCTTTCTTCGGTGTGTGGTTTTAGGGATTCTGAGTGTGGCCCAGTGTTCAAAAAGAAGAAGAAAAAAATCCACCATGAATGAATATGCGGGCACATTCACTTTAGTTTTGACATTTTGTGCTAGATTGTGACATTACATTTTGCCATGAGTAAGGGGCTGCCCTGCCCCAAGAGCACCTCAGGGAATGGACTGTGAGAATTAAAAATTTGTTCTCTGGTCTCTGTCTGAGCAATCAAGGCACCAGGAATTTGCTACTGGTCTATTTCAGTATCAGATTGTTTCCCACACTACGCTAGTTTGGTGAATAAACGTCTCTGTTCTACAATGGCAGATCTGGGAACAGAATTCAGATCTCCTGACTCTGGATCTGATGGCCCATCCTCAGCAGCATGCTGTACAGCCCACGGTATATTTATGCCTATTGGTAGGTTCAAGGCTTAAAAGGAGACTGTCACTAATTGCCCACCCAGAATGATGAGGATCATACTTAAGCATGTGTCTCTTGAGGCACATCCCCTCTTCCTATGCTCCACCCTTTTTTCAACCTGTGTTTTCAAGCAAGGTACATAGTTCTCCACACCAACCAGTACTCTACTTAAACTCTCTCTCCCACACACTCACTCTCTCTCTCTCTCTCTGAGCCTCCACAACACCCACGAGACATGGCTGTGCATCAAGCAAGGCCATGCAGGATTAAGGCCTATGTAGAAATGCCAGTGGTGTTTCCTCAGGGTGATATTTGCATTTGAGCACATTCAGGATTCTAGAGGCACCATCTGTTGGTAAATGCTCTGCGATTACATTGGTTTCTTTGTAATACGGATTAATAGCAAGCTTGGCAAAATAAAATAAAATGTCCTTTGTAGATCATCATTCATGCTGGTTTGTTTTTCTGCTCTGAAATGTGAATTTGGTGCTTCAAACTTTCTAGTTGCTCTGTTAATAAAAGGAAACTTTTATTTTTTAGATATTTAATAAGATATTTTTTTCAAATCAGTACAAAAAATTTAAATACAAAAATTATTTGCTATTGACATATCTCATACATATCCTGGAAACTCACCAAAGTCACCAGTGTCTGGTAAACTGTCCATTGCCACCAACATTCCATAAAATATCTGAGATCACGCACCGCACTAGAGTCATTGCAGCGCTGTGTTGGTAATACACTGCATTAAACTCTGTATTTAAATAATGGTAATGCCAGTTAAATCTTTTTTTTTTTTTTTTCTGCATGGAAGTTCCTAGTTCATTTTGAATTAAATAGGGTTGCATTAGTCAAGACATAGATGTGTTCAGTCTACTTTTAAACTAATGGAATAGTGTGATGTGCAACACTGAAAAGGGAAACAGAAAAGTACAGTATAAAGATATTTTTAAATTAATCTCAGTAATTAATTTTTTGCTGTGAGATTAGCACCATTGTTGAACAGACAGTACCTTGTAAAAATGTTGCTTCCCCCACATACACGCACATTTGATGCCTATGTATGCTCATATACAAACTTAGGCAATCAGTAACATAAATAAAAAGAACTGGAAATCAGTTATTACATTAAAAGAAATTGTTCTCAAATGAATCATAAGAGTTTAAGGCCAGTAGGGACCATTAGATTATCTAGTCTGACCTGTATATGAGAGGCCACCGACACCTCTCAGCACCCACGCACAATGGAAATGAGAGAAAAGTAAAAGAGTGTGCTTGATCCTTATTACTAATGAAAATTATTGGGCAACCTCAAACTAGTTTGTTTATTATTTAGCAAACAGAGCAAGTGCCGCTTTTGCTGTACATTCATTAATAAGCTAATTTTGGCTGAATCTCAGAACAAGCGCATTCTCTTAAAAGCCAAACAGAATGCAGTTTCTTAGGAAAGGTCTGGGAAAATGCGTGTATTTATACTACACTGATGTTCGTTGGCCAAAATGCTACATTATTTTAATAATTTGGCATAACATCCCTAAAGTCATTAGACTAAAACCATATCTCAAGTCTACCATGTCTACCTTCTGCTTTGTAAATATATATGGAGGTTTCTTGAATGCTGTGGTATTAAGGGTTGATCTATTGCCCACTGAAGTCAGTGGCAATTTTCCTTTTGATTCCAATGGCTATTTGGATAAAGCAGTGAATTAAAATTCTCTTGTGCGAATATTCTTTTCCATCTTAAGTATGTTATTAGAAGAAACTGTCCTGTGATACTGTATGTGGGGAAAATAAGGATTTCAGCTAAGAGAATCTTTGCTTATGGTGCAGGTTTAGATAAACCCTGCTTTAAAAAAAAAAGCATTACTCAAACTTATACATATATCAGATCATTTCATACTGACACATTCTGTTTAAGTTATCTTTTCATCTCACACTTTAGATCAATGTTCAGTTAAATAGGCAACAGGAGTGAGTGATGTATGCAAGATTTGACCCTTAATATTGTATTATTGTGAATGAAATGAAGTAAGTATGGTATCACAGAAATATATAATGTACAGCTAATATGTCCCCATTGGATACAGAACAACTGTTATGAACCGGATACACATCATAAAATATGTTCACCACACCATTTTTATAACAAGCTGTGCATAATGTGAAACTTTGTTGTACAAGAGGGATCTAAAACTGTCAGTAAATGCATCTTTCAATGGTATAAAAGTTTGAAGCAGAGGAAAAGAGTTGTAATTTTGTCTGGGGGTTTTTGTTTTGTTTTGTTTTTACATAGGATACAATAAATATCCTGAGAAAGACGAGTGAACATATTGCCCTGCATAGAGTCCTGCTGCCTGTTCAGATGGCATCTGAATATAAACTTTGTCTCCAGGCATCAGTTGAATGACGGTGCTTCCAGAAGCTTGATCCAGGAAGCCTTTTTTATATTCATCATATGTGTACATCAGTGGCTCATTGTTCTTGTACAAAGCTACCCAGACGCTGGCCCCTTTACAGTGAATGTGGTAGGCAAAGTAGTAAATCCCAGGGATCTCACAGGTGAAGATACCAGTCTGTGGGTTATAGTTCTGCCTGCCATTGTAGAGAAGCTTGTCAAATTTCACAGGCACCCCGACCCGTGGGAAGGGTGTGGTGAGTTCTGCCGTGAATGCAGGCATTTCGTAGACAGTGCCACCATTCTTGCCTTTCTTGCCCATATAGCCAGGTGGGGTCTTCACTCCATCAATGCCAGGCCCCAGCTCTGGCAAATATTGTCCAAAGGCCGGTGGGGTGGGTGGGATTATTATTGGAGGACCAGGTGGACCTGGAGGCCCTGGAGGACCCTGAAGACCCGGCTGGCCTGGTGGACCAAGTGCCCCAGGTTTTCCTGGTGGTCCTTGCAGCCCTGAAACACCAGGTTTCCCTACTCCTGGAAAGCCTGGTGGACCGGGTACACCTGGTTCTCCTTTAGGTCCTGGAAGTCCAGGTGGTCCTATTGGGCCGCTGGGTCCTGCGATACCTGGGATTCCAGATGGACCTTGATGGCCTTGATCACCGGGGATTCCACGTTCCCCTTTAGGTCCTAATTGCCCAGGAACACCAGGCAGGCCTGGCAAACCTTTGTGACCAGCTTCTCCCTTTGGCCCTATTGGACCAGGTAGTCCTCTAAGACCCGGGGGTCCTACTTCCCCAGGAAAACCTGGCTTTCCTGGGAAACCTTGTAGGCCAGGTTCACCTTTTGGACCAATAGGACCTTGAGGCCCTACAGGTCCACCTTCTCCTTTTGGTCCAGGGAAACCAACAGCACCGGATGGCCCCATTATTCCTGGTAATCCTGGTTGACCAGGCTCCCCAGGGGGCCCACCCATGCCAGGGGGACCCATGTGCCCTTTCTCACCTTTAGGCCCCAGTGCTCCAGGGAAACCACCGATGCCACGATCACCTTTAGGCCCAGGAAATCCTGGTTTCCCAATCCCTGGTAGGCCTGGGGGTCCTGGTAAACCTGGCAAGCCTTGTTCCCCTTTTCCACCTGGGAATCCAGGCTGGCCTGGGATTCCATCTTGGCCTGGTTTTCCAACACCTGGAAGGCCAGGTGGACCTTGAATCCCAGGTGCCCCAAGAAGACCTTGTGGTCCTCGTTCACCTGGAAGTCCTGGTTTACCTATAGGTCCCTGTGGTCCTGGAAACCCAATCATTCCTGGTTTGCCTATCCCTGGGAGTCCAACTGGACCTGGAGGGCCAGGTAACCCAGGTGGACCTTTTAACCCTGGTAAACCTGGAATCCCAATGCCTTTTTCTCCTTTAGGGCCTTGAAGCCCTGGGAGTCCTGGTGGTCCTTTCATTCCTGGTTCACCCTTTACTCCTGGTTGTCCTGGTAATCCTTGACCACCTGGTTTTCCTATTCCAGGCAGTCCAGGAGGCCCTGGTGGTCCCTGTGGACCTGGTATTCCCATAGGCCCAATCTCTCCCTTTGGTCCCATCTCACCTCTTGACCCAGGGAGCCCCATTGCTCCTGGTTTTCCAGGCATTCCAGGCATACCTGGTTTGCCTATTCCTGGATATCCTTGTGGACCTGGTTTTCCTTTGGCTCCTGGCACTCCATGACCTGGTAATCCTGGGGCACCTGGTGGCCCTCTTGGTCCAGGCTCACCTGGGGGACCTTGCTCACCTCTCAAACTGGCTAACGGCATTTCTGTTTTTAAGAAAAGAAAGAGAGAGAACAACCATAATTTTACCTTTATTGGAAATCATGTATGCAGTTTAAATAGCTCGGTCTCATTTAGGTATTGCTTGGATTTGTGGTAGATACACTAGGTACTACCACCTCATGGCCCCAGTAGTTGATTACAATTAAACATGGCACTTTTATTGTTCTGAATGATTTCATGCACCCCAAATTTCACTTTTTTCATAGTTTAAGTGAAATAGTTATTTTTCCCTCAAAATCTTTCCTTAATTTTTATGTAAAAGCTATCCACACCATAGGTCAATTTGCCACATATATGGGCCAACTTTCAAGTCTGTGATGAAATGCAAAAAACCTTGAATTTTGAGTTGTTCTTTATTTTGTTATAAATATATCACCCCTCTAGTTGATGACTTACGATTACTTAGTTTACACTTAAACGTTTTGCTGGTATAGCTGTACCATTGTAACTATCCTGACAAAACTCTTCCAGTGTAGATGCAGCTTACACCAGCAAAAAAGTGCTTTTCTTCAGATAGCTTTTGCTGGTTTGACAAGCAAAATAAGCTAAGTAGCCAAACACACTTTTATGCCAGTATAACTGCATCTACACTCAGGTTTTTGCTGGCAGATGTGTTGCCAAAAAAAAAAAAAAAACCAACCCACATCCCTAACCTGTGCTGCTATGCCAGCAAAAGTTTCTTCTGTAGACCTGGCCAACAAGGCAAGATGTATCTCATTCTAATGCTTTCACTTGATTAAATTGTTGAGTAAACATATTTTGTAAAATATTCACCTCACTAATTAATATATATGACAATTTCTGTTGGGCAACTCTCTTAAGTCTATGCTTTTTAGTAAGTCCGTGTATTTCAGCACTGATGGCAGCCGGCTATACACAAAAATTTATAGTGAGATGTTAAGAATTGAATTTTAACCAACAAAAACCAGAAAAAGGTATTTACCAGTGTAATATCTTCAGCATGATCCTTAAATCTGGCATTCTTAGTCTTTTCTACCCCTTTACCCCTAAAATCACCCATTTTTTCCTCTCATGACCCCATATCCCCATTCTTTTCTGTCTCTGAATGTTGTGCCATTTCAGTTTAAAATATCTAAACTGATTTGATACACAATAATTTAATAAAAAGAAAAGGAGTACTTGTGGCACCTTAGAGACTAACCAATTTATTTGAGCATGAGCTTTCGTGAGCTACAGCTCACTTCATCAGATGTATACCGTGGAAACTGCAGCAGACT